CGCCGGGCCCCTGGTTGGCCTATAAGGTCCAAATTCAAAACCTAAACTCGACAACACCTCCTCTTTGTGCATACCAAATTTCATTAAAATCGGATTAACCGTTTAGAAGTTACCGAATTATTTCCCTCTTTTTTTTTTCCTATACCACTGTGCAGCGCCGTCCCTGGGGCATCTGCAGGGTTCATCTTCAAAACTTAAACTCGAATACTCCTTGGCCACGCTCACGCCAAATTTTATCCCGATCGGATCAGCCGTTTAGAAATGCCAGATTTATTTCCAAAAAATTTCCATTCTGCCCCACTGTGTGCCTTCAGAAGAGTTTGTGCGGCCAGGGAGATACTCCTGCGATACGAAAGCGATACTAGTAGAAGACAAACAAGAGATATTGTAGATAATCAGCTGGGTGAAAATAAGAATATGTCTTCAGATGATCTTATTAAGGATAAATAGAGGATATTGGTAGATTATCTTTACCATACACATATCTTCAGCAGACCATTATATTTCCCAAAGATTTGCTTCAAACCGCTGGAAATGTACCTCAAAATTTCAAGGACTTAAAAGTAAAAAGTCATGTCCAATTCTGTATTGTAAAAAAAATTCAAAACATAAACTTAATTTACAATACATAAATGTTTACCACATGCATTTCTTGATTAGTTTGAAGACTATTATAATAAGCATTTGAAAAAAATATTCAAAATGTTTATTTTTAATAAATATTTTGAAGTTTGAAGTATTGCTACAACAACTTCCTTATGATAATCTAGAGATACAATACACTTTTTTGCTTATTGCTGAATTTTCTTTTATATAAATAAAAATTCGATATTAAGCAAATATTATTTTGATGATTTTCGTCTAAATGATAAAACGAAGTTATTGCTTTCATATCTTCTATGGACGATATCTGCCAAATGTTTGTAGGGTAATAATTTTTTATTTTTCTAACAATCAATATAATAAGCCCAGTAGGATGTTGAGTTAACTTAAAACTAACTTATGGTTAACCACAAATGAGTTAGAGGTGACTCGAAAGCTAACCATTTTGCTTATAAAATACTATTCAGTTTTTCAATGTAATGTCATAGGACATTACAGAAGTTACCTCACGATGAGTTAGCTTCTAGTGCGTAAATAAAAGAGCAACTTATGCAATTTTCTTATATTTTTATACTATTTTTTTTTTTTTTAAATTATTACTGTTTATAAATGAATATCGTCACCTAAAACGCAAACGGCCCTATCTAACATTTTTAAAATTTTACAGGAGAAGCAAAAAACTATTTAAATTGAAAAGTTTGTTTCTTTCAACGCGATTTATTTGTAGTAAATAAACAAATTGTTTAATTGTGAAACATATCATTTGTTATGATAGTTGACAATGGCGTATATAAAAATGGATAAATTGGACTTTTTACCTTTAATATTTAAAAGTTTTTGTAGATAGCGCCTTTTGTTTTCTGTCAATAAAATCGATAATTATGGTCGGAGGAGTCCAATTTTTGGTGTGGACATTTGTTTTGATGCAATACATTATAATCACCAATAAAATCGATTTTGAATTTTTGGTTAGTTGGGGCCGTTGGCGTTTCAGGTGACGATATGCAGTAACATTTCCTATCTACATACAGTGTCTCTCATAAGTATTCGAATTTAGGTAAACTATGAAAAAAAAAACAAATTTAATAATATATTTTGTGTGGAAAATAAATTAATTTGTTATATTGTCTAGATAGTCCTTAGATTTGATATCACGCCCCTTAAAACTTGAAAACTTTACATTTACTTAAATTAGTTGTGTTTTTTTTAAAAAAAGTCCATGAAACTACTTCACAAAAGTATACGAATTTTTCCTGTATTTCATATTTGATCATATTATACGATACACAAATTCTAGAATCGAATGGTTTTATGCTTAATATTGTTTTAAGGGGTAACTATCAACCGCTTGGATATATTTTTGACCCATTTGGTCCACAATTTTGGGGGATTTGTACCCTCTTTTCATGTAATATCATTAAAATGGCGATTTTTGGCTATATTTGTAATGTTTTCACCCTTTTTCCAGAGATAAAACTAAAATTTAATATTGGAATTTAATAGAACCCATAGGGTATCTAAAAATAATATTTTTTGTTATAAGGATCTGTACTTAAACGTTCTAAGATGTATTTTTGGTATCGTTTTTCAGTTTCTAATTGAATTATCTGGATCATAACTCCCTTTTCGTACCTCTAGGGACGATATTTTCCGACAAAGTTGTCTAGTGTATATACATGTACATATTGGTACTAATATATTTTAAATTTTCAATATATTATAGCGGTATACAACCCCAAAACATGCCTTAATAAAACGTCATCCTATATAGTAGATTTCAGTTTTTACTACTCGTAACTTTCACGCTTATGTTGCCCGTTACAATAACACTGTAAGTCCAAAATTTTGGTTTTAATTTGATCATAGTAAATAATATTTAAACATATATCAACATTTTTGAGTTAGATCATAATGATATCGTGCCATGCAGCATGGAGGCCATTGGTATATAAAAATAATGATTTTACTATTTTGAATGGTGTTTCTTCGAGGCATGTTTTGGAGTTGTACACTTCCACAACACATTGAAAACTTAAAATGTATAAAAGCTGATATCTAAAAGAATTTATACCAGAAAACATCCCCGAAAATAGTTGATCCTAGTATTATAAAAATGGACTTAAGTTCCAATATATTGAATTAGCGACAGAAGAATGATCCGAATAATTTATCTTGGAACGTTTAAATACAGATTCTTGTAACAAAAAATATTATTTTTATATACCCCAAGGGGTCTTTTCTTATAAATCCCAAATCAAATTTTTGTTTTATCTCTGGAAATAAGGAGAAAAATTTACAATTATGGCCAAAAATCGCCATTTTAATGATATTACTTGAAAAAAGGTACAAATTTCCCAAAATTGTGGACCAAATGGGCCAAAAATATATCCTTTCCGTGGATAGTAACCCCTTAAAACAATATTACGCATTAAAACCATTCGATTTTAAAATTTGTGTTGCGTGTAATATGATCAAATATGAAATACAGGAAAAATTCGTATACTTTTGAGAGGCAATTTCATGGACTTTTTTTAAAAATCCATAATTAATTTAAGTCAATGCAAATTTTTCAAGTTTTAAAAAGCGTGATATCAAACATAACGACTATCTAGACAATATAACAAATTAATTTATTTATTTTGCACACAAAATATATTATTAAACTTGGTTTCTTTTTATAGTTTACCCAAATTCGAATAATTATGAGAGACACTGTATATACATACACCATTAACTTATGTCTTATATTATTGACAATTTTAATTATTAATTAATAAATTAATTTTTCATGGCTGAAAGAAATTTTCATTTTCATAATTAAATTTTTTCAATAAAAATTATTTGACAAATTTGTTGTGAGTTTCTATTTTATTTTTTATTTTAAATTTTATTGAAATGTTTGTTCATTTCCTCGATTATTTTTGAGTTACTTTGAAGTTCGGTAGGTTAGTGGTTAGTGTTCTAGTCTGGTAGACCGAAGGTGGTGGGTTCGATTCCCACCTTAGGCACAGGTTAAGGAGCGCACAACAGGCCCGATAGAGGCCTAGAGATATTTCATCGGATTTGATGTATATACATCCTCCTTTCAAACTAACTAACTAGTCATTACTAATGTTTTAAACATTCGCTGTAGGATTTGTGAGTTAACTAAAAATCAAGTTAACTTTTGTTAACTCACAAATCCCACAGCGAATGTTAAAAACTTTATTGACAATTGAAATTTTGACGGTTAAAAATAACCTGGTTTAGAAAATGGTGGTTAGTGTATTTTATTTTCTCCTGTTCTGTATTTTGCTGCTTTTTTTTACTAAATTATTTAATTTTTTTACTAAAATATTTAAGAGCTTATTTTTATAGTTATACTGATTCATTTGTGCATCCACCGAATTCGTCATATTTCAGTTTTATGATTTTAAATGTACACTTTGGTTGTTGCTGCTTGTTTGGAGTACAGTATAAATTAATTTTTTAATCAAATTTGATACTATTAAACTTCAACTAGCATCCTCCAATCACGCAAATAATGTAAAAGTGTTCTAGAGAAATCATATATTACAATGGGGGAAATTTGATGATATTCATTGAATTTTCTTGGCGTGCTGTTGGTCCGATATTGATGTGGGATGCAGAAATGGATCCGTATGACTATCAAAATAGGCTCTTAAATACTTTTGCAACAAAATCTAATAGCGTTTTTTGGTCAATAACGACCGTAAATATGCTAAAAGTGCAAAGATGAGTTGCTTGGAAACGAGCGGGATTGACATGCTTACAGTGCCCAGTATAATTTCTCGATACCAATTCAATAGAGAACATTTAAAATGATATAGAGCAACAAATAAAAGCAGAAATCCCCAAGAATTTTGCCAATTTAAGGTCTGAAAGTTAAAATTTATGTCATGAAACTCCTAGTGGGTTCTGGTGAAGATTATGTCCAGGAGAAGGGATGTTATTATCAAAATGTGCTAATATTTTACAAAATATGAAATTTTAAGTGAAATTAAATAAATTTAGCTGGTTGTTTTGTTTTATTTTGAATTTTTTAATGATTTTTTATATTTTGTGGTAAATTTATGTCCAGATTTTTTTCGGGGTAGATGTACCTTGGAAAGGAAAAAATTATATGGAACAGAGTAGTGGAACAAAACGTAATGTGTCGTGATCCTCGAAGTACATGTGTTATGCATAGAAAATAATTTATCAAAAAAGTTAAGAACTATAGGAAATATTTGATTTAACAGATACTAAATGTGCTAACCTCATAATCAAATTCTAATTCCGTCCGTCTGTCTGTGTTGTTGGGTCTCAAAAGAATATTTCATAGTGTTATATGTATATACCCCCTATCACCACTTATGGTGGTGGGGTTTAAAAAAATGATTTTTATATATACATACACATTCCGCGGGATCAATGATAAAAACTCCACGTTCATTAACGGCAATTAATACTTCAACGTCCTTATGATTTACTAAACTCATTAGACCACGTACAGGTTGCTCTACCTGCCCATGGAAGAAGGCAGCTCTGAAATTAAGAAAAAAAAATAAAACTACATTAAAGAATAATCTTAATTTTTCCAAAGTATTTTTAAAAATCGCCTAAAGGCTTGAGTATAACAAAGGTGGTGGCATCGATGCTTAACGCTATTGAAGAATTTTGAATTTTATAAGGACGTTGTTTTTTGTACTATTTTCTCATTAACCAGCAAACAAATACAATTATATATAAATTTTGAAAACATATGTATGTATGTATGTATGTATGTATGTATGTATGTATGTATGTATGTATGTATGTATGTATGTATGTATGTATGTATGTATGTATGTATGTATGTATGTATGTATGTATGTATGTATGTATGTATGTATGTATGTATGTATGTATGTATGTATGTATGTATGTATGTATGTATGTATGTATGTATGTATGTATGTATGTATGTATGTATGTATGTATGTATGTATGTATGTTTGTATGTATTTATGTATGCATGTATGTATGTATGTATGCATGTATGTATTTGGTTTTTTATTTACAAAAAAATATGAAATATTTTAAAATCAGGGCAAAAGAGAGAAAATTAAAAAAAAAATATTATTTTTGATTTTCAACGCCAAAATTAAAAAAAAAAACGCTTAGATATTTATATTCAAGCCAATGAATATCAAGAAGTGAAACTCTTTCATTTGTTTACAACAAAAACATTACAGGTTAATTACAATTGGAACCGCAACCGCTGTCGACAATGAGTTTTCATACATTTTGTATGGAGAGCAAAATATCGTCTTGTGGTTGATTAGATTCTATCAAGGCGAATTCAGATAAGGTGGTGGCAGTTCTGCAACAACAACATTTTACATGTATTTTGTTTTTGCATTTGGTTTACGTAGATGTCAAAAACCATAAGTACTGCGAATTCATTTCATGAAAAATTTTTGTAAAAAGTTTATGTTTTATTAAAAAATAAAGATAAAGATATTAAAATTTGTGAGAAAAATATATTCTGAATTGAATAATGTTTGTTTCAAGCGAAAAATTCTATTCCGGCAGATTAATTTGCAAAATTGAAGTGAGTGCCTGAAGTTAAGTAAAACTTAATTTTTTGTGAAAAATAAACATAAAAAGTAAATATTCATGAAAATATTATATTACGAATGAATGAATATTTGATGCGAATGGATAATTCTACTCCGGCGGAGTAATTTTCAATATTTGACCATAATATAGCAGCCGCCGGACGGGTATAGCAGCCGCCGGACGGATATGGGTTTTGTTATATAAAGCGTTCCGGAACAGACTTTTTTAGTTAATCACTTTATTTACATAGTGTATATATAAAACAATATTGTTTAATTTGTTAACATTTAATAGATTACAAAATTAAGCCATAACGTAGAAGTCAGCTGCCGTCAGCCGGGTAAATACTTCATATTCGTTTCTTAATATTAAGTGTTCCGGAAGAGATTTTTTTAGTTAATCACGTTATCTACACAATTTTAATATAAAATATAAAACAATATTGTGTAATATGTTAACATTTAAGAGAAAAAAATATTTTTCTTAAATAACATATTTGTATACATACCAATTATGCTATTATTTAAATAAAATGATATTTGTTTACGAGATGCTTGGTATTTTCAGATTTTTTACATAAATAATTCAAAATATTAACGAAGTTTTTCTCCGTTTAACGGACATTTTTAAATATAAAAATGTAAACAATAACAAACTTTGATCTTTTCCATGTTGTAGCGTTGCCATATGTTAATAATGTTTTGCTAAAAATATTGCAAAAACAGAGTTGTTATAATGCGCATTTTTCGCCTGTGTTATTATTATTTATATATTTATTATATTTATTTTTTGTTCCGAATAATTTTTTAATCATTAATATTTAGTTCTTAAAAAATAATTATAATTTAAAAAAAAACATCATTTTGCATTGATTTTTGTGGTCGCTAATTCGTCGCTCGCTCTTTTTGTGTGGTTTGTCGACAGCGGTTCCAATTGTACAGCTTAATTATTTATCCAACACATTTGTAAAAATTTTATTCTCTCTCAAAGCTTCAAAATTTAACATCACGTTTTATAATTTTTTTGCACAGTTTATATATACATTTAATAGCCCGAAAAGATTCTATTTTTTACAAACTAAAAATTTTTTGACATTAAATTTTTTTTGCATGAAATTACAACTGAAAAAAAAACAATGTTGTAAATTTTCGTATGATAAACGAAACAAAAAACGTAAAAAAACATATTTTTTTCAATATTGCAGATTAAAAGGCAAATAGACGAATTTTTAAAATGTTTATAGATAAATAAATATTTTAAGAAACCTTTCAAAGTATAAATTTAAATGCAATAATTTTTTTTCGATATTTTTGAGAATTCTACTAATACATTCTTAGAGTTACTTCTACTAATACATTCTTCTACATACAAGTCTACTGACAGTAGACTTAGGTACTTTTTGACACCGTTTCATTTCATATTTATTCTTTGATTCAAGCCTTAAAATAAATTAAATATTTGATTCCCAACGCCATCGTTTGTTTTGTTGTATGAAAAGTTTATATTCAAGCCTTAAAGGCGTATTTTGTAATTTTTGTAAAATATTATTAACTTCAATAGCGTTACAACATACGCACGTACGTACATACAGACATACATACATACCCAGTAAACAATTTTTTCAGACATGTCTGATGTCAGAAATTTTCTGAAATAATTCTTATACTTTATCAGAATTTTTAACGAATTTCTAAATTTCCTTTAGACATTTTACAGAATAATCGGCAAACTGTTTGTTAGACTTTTCTGCACATTTTCTGAAGTATTAAACGATTAATATCAGACTTGTCTGCACATTGTCGAAAGGGAATTTCAGTGTTACGACAATTATGAGACTAATCTGCACATTGGCGGAGGACAATTTGTTTTTTTATTCCTATATTATTTTTTAGACATAAAGGAGAATAGTCTATACATTTTCTGAAGTAAAATATAAAATGGATTAAGAATTATATCCGATAAATCTGCACATAATCTGAAGAGAATTGTTTTTGTAACGTTCCTTTAGATATTTAACAGAATAGTCTGCACATTTTCTGATATTTTTTGCTCGGTCATTTTGTTCCGATTTTCAGTACTTTTGTAAGAAAACTTTGCGACAACTCTGCACATTATCTGAAGGAAATTTTGTTTTTTTTTTTTTTTTATAAAAATCATGCACAAACCTGTTTATATTTTGAAATTCGTCAACTGTACTTTAAAAGGGAATTTAATTTTTATTTTCTTTTATTTTCTCAGTTAGTTTTTGGAAATCTGCATATGTGATGATTATTGTTTAAATTTCTTTAAACTTTGTTAATACACAAAAATTAGCAAAAAAATTACATAATTTTTTATGGTTTAATTTTATAATTTTAAATAGATGTATATAATGAACTCTATTTTCGTATATAATACGTATGTAGTATGGTTTAATTTTATTAATTTTAAAAATAATCTATAAATTTCTATTATTTATTTATGTACCCTTAAGAAGTCATGAATAATGGAAGCTTATAAATTATTATTAAAATTAATAAACTTAAACCATAATAAATTGTATATATGAAAATAGTTTTCATCAGACGTGGATCAGAATAGTCAGGCCATTTTCTTATACTTGATCAGACTTTTGTACGAACTGTCGGACATTTTATCAGACATTTATCCGACATCTATCAGACATTCTTATACTTGATCAGACTTTTGAACGAAATGTCGGACATTTTATTAGACATTTATCCGACATCTATCAGACTTTCTTATATTTGATCAGACTTTCGTACGAAATGTCGAAAGAATGTCAGACATGGTACCAGACTTCAATCAGATTTGTCGAAAATTCCTTCAGAATTTCCCCAGGCATTTACATCAGATTTCGTACCGAATTCTGACCGACAACTCTGCACATTATTCCGAATTTCCTCAGACAAAGAGTTCCGAATTCCGAGCAACCTTTCATACGATTTTCGTAACGAATTCTGACGGAATTCGGATACGAAATCGGGAACTTGTGCAGACTGTCGGTACGAATTCGTTACGAATTCGGCAAAAATTGTTTAGTGGGTACATACATTCATACATACATACATAATAAAATTAATAAAAATGACAAACAATTGTTCAACCAACCCATAAAAAGGAAGAGCCCAACAAAATTCCAAATATTTGCGCATTAATTTACGAGTAGTTGCAGTCTGTGGCACACGTTTGAACTGTTCTAAGAGGCGAACTTCGGCAGAATTTTTCCGACTTACGGGAAGCCATGACCAACTTGAATTTTTGGCAACATGCTGAGGCAAAAATCTTGTTTGATTTTCTCTAAAAATAAAATTATGGAAATTAAGTGACTCAATAAACGACTCAAAAAAAACTTACGACTTTAAATAACTTACCTAAAAAAACTAACCGTATGAGTATGTGAATTAAAGGGACCCAATTCGATGCGAGCTTGTATACCTCCCAACATTAACGAATGTACAGACTCCATTATATATCGTCCAGATAATACATTATGTTTTGCTTCTTCATATAACAATTCTAGTATTCGATGATCTCTGTAAAACAAAAATAAAATTTTTAACAATAAATATGCAAGAATAGTAATCAGAATATCTTTATTAGTATTAATCTAATTGATATTTTTAAGTAAAACAGCTAAGGAAAATGAAAACAAAATAATTCGAAAACAACTGATGATCTTTACCAAAATATTGTAAATTGTATACCCTACAAAAGTTGTAATAACATCTAAAGTCTGACGACGAACAATAATCGCGATATTTGCAAAGCTTTGATACATGACCTTATTTGGACCACGACTTTTAGTTCTCTATTTAGATTATCTAGATAAAGCTGAAAAGCAGTTTTTATTTTATCTTGTTAAATTCTTAATTTTAGCCAATTTGTCTGCGAATGTGGATAGATAACGTTTACTAAGGTAAATATCGCCGAAGTTATGGATGTAATGCTAACATCCGCTACATGGTATTATAAGTGGTCAAATATAACCCCTAAAGTCCCAAATCTGTTCATAGAATGGGAAGAACATTTCAATATAAAAAATGTTTTCCAAAATGTCCTATGTGGAATTTTTTGAATTGCTCTAAAGCGCGATAAAAATTCAGTTATTTTTTCAAATACGTATTAATTATATTTGTTAACGAATCCGCGAAAAGACATATTTTTCTAAAACACCTCCATATATAAAAAATACAGCTAAATTAAAATTGATTTTTTTTTTTTTTTGCTATTCTGAAAACTTTGTTACGAACAAGTTTTCAAGTCCTGCTATTTTGGTAACTATTTTCATACAAAAAACATCTCTTATAAAGAACTCGGTTATTACGAATCCTCGTATAAAACGAACTACTTTTTCAGTCCCTCAAGTACAATTTCATACAATTTTCCTTTTTTCAAAATTATGTGTTAAAATCATAAGGATATATTTTGCTTTGTTGAAAAAAACTTAAATTTGTTAAGAAAAATATGAACAAATGAAATCAATTGTGTGTTTTTGTAAAGAATATTAAAAAAAATTATAAATCATATTCATAAAATTTTGTAAAATGCCACTTTAATTTTTCAACTACAAAAACTTCACCTGTCTTATTACGAACTTCGCTTATAACGAACAAATTTGACTGACCCGCGGAGTTCGTTACAAACGAGTTTGACTGTACAATGTGTATATTAGATACCCTGCAGCAAGACGAGTTCAGATAAGGTGGTGGAAGTTCGGCAACAACAAAATTATCCATTTAATTTGTTTTTGCATTTGGTACGCACTGATGTCAAAAACAATAATTAATGAAAATATTTTGTAAAATTTTTATATTTTATAAAAAATGCACATAAGTGGTAGAATGTTTGTTCCAAATGAAAAATTCTACTCTGGCAGATTAATTTTGCAAAACTTAAGTTTGTGCCCAAAATTATGTAAAATTAATAAAAATGTAAAAATTTATGGTTGTAGTCAGCTGCCGCCATACGAGTAAATACCTCATATGAATTTTGTTATAAAAAGCGTTCCGGAACAGAATTTTGTTAGTTAATCACATTATATACACAGTCTAACCATAAAACAATTTATTAAATTTTTTTAGATCTGAAAATTTGACCATAACGTAAAAGACAGCTGCCGCCGGTCGTGTAAATACCCATGTGGGTTCTTTATATAAAATATTCCGGAACAGATTTTTTTTGGTTAATCGAGTTAACTACAAAGTATAAATATAAAATATAAAACAATATTGTTTAATTTGTTAACATTTAATAGAAAAAATATATTAAATTTTTTCCATGCGTTCCAATTATTCATTATTTATATAAGAAAAATATTTGTTTACAAAATGCTTGGTATTTTTTACATAAATTATTCAAAATACTAACGAAGTTTTTCTCTGTTTTAACGGAAATTTTTAAATATAAAAATGTAAACAATAACAAACTCTGACATCAGTGCGTAGCAGTCAAGTGAAGAAAAAAATAATCAGCTGATTGAATAACACCACCTTATCTGAATTCGACTTGCCTGCAGTACGACGAACTAGTTCGACAACGGCGACAATCCCAGCTACTAAGAACTAATACTAGTGAATTTTCAACCCACTAGCAATGTTATTCACTAACATGGGGATGTCATTGAGAGTGGCCGATTGACACCTTATGCATAACATGTTTCCATTAATATCACTAGTTCAAATTCTCCAACAAAAACAAAAAATAAAAAGAAAAAATTAATTCTGAAACTGGGGTTGAACTTGGGGTCTATCGTTTTGTAGTTAGAAGCTCTCACCACGGAGCTACTGATCTCTTGTTCATACAAACCTCTAATTGTTGCTATGAATAACATGCAATTTTTGTACGAAAGTGCCAATTAACACTTTTCACTAGTTACATTACTACATTTCCAACTAACTAGTTAACTCTGGTTAATGAAGTGGTCGATATTATGCATAAACGTTCACTACATTTCACCATTGTAATCAATAGTTCACATTTGATAAATTTTCGCATGAAGTTTATGAAAATAAATTCCAAATGAATTAAATGTTTTAAAAATGTCAATTTGATAGCCACATGTAGTGCTTAAAGTAACCGCATGGCACATTTCTGACGAAAAGTAATGCTGAAAGTGTCCGTTTGGATTTCAAACAAGAGCTCAGTAGCTCAGTGATGAGAGCTTTCAACTACAAATCGATAGACACCAAGTTCAACCCCAGTTCCAGAATTAATTTTTAATTTGTTCTTTTTTTGTTGGAGAATTTGAACTAGTGATATTAACGGAAACATGTAATGCGTAATACTCCGTTCACACGGTGCAATTATTCGTAATTCACGCTCTCATTCATCATTCAACCCAATTACGTACTGAATGACATGATTCGCCATACAAAATTTCAGCTGCGAATTACACAAGCTGTACGTAATTCAGTTTGAATTACGTACGAATGAATGAGTGTCATCTCTAATTTTTATCGGGTATTTATCATAATCAGTTGTTTGTTTTCATTGGTTGGAGACAACAAAAAATGAAATTACAAAAAAAAAAAGAAAATGCAAATAAATAGAAAATATACAACTTAATCTGTTGAAATAATGTAATAGACGTATTTTTGTATCCTGCACACACACAAATATTTCAAAAAATTACAAAATAATGAATAAAAAAAGGTGTCAATCGTTCACTTGCAATGACACCCCCATTTTAATTTCAACAATAAATAACATTGCTAGTGCGTTGAAAATTCGCTAGTGGTAATTCTTAGTGGCTGTTGATATCGCAGTTGTCGAACTAGTTCGTCGTACTGCAGGGATGGATGTTCATACATAAATGTATGTACATATGTTATTATGTAAAATTTAACTGTAAAACGATACAATAAAATCGCAAAAGCTTTTTTCTCGTTCGCAAATTATATACATATGTATGTATATGTACACTATCGGACAAAATAAAGTACAAAAGAACTCACGCTATATTCTTTTAGCAAAAAATCTGTTAAATGATTATTGAATATGAAAAATTTATTTAAATTCATTTAGTTAATATACAATGCTGCAGAAATAGCAATAAAACAAAATTATTGTACACAGAAAAATTTTTATACATTTCAAAAGTTGTTTTATTCGTACTAAAATGAATTAATATAATTCTTATTTGGTTTATAACATTTACCCCCATTATCTCAATGTCTGGTTACATTTTATCATAAGGTTAAATTGACAGTTTTCATACAAAAAATATTTTAACCGGCAGAATATCTATAGGTTAAACGATGACCAGAGGTGGAGTTAAAGGGGCTTAATTAATATATAAGTATTACAGTATTAACAGTACAAAATAATAGCATCAAAAATGAGAAATAAAATTTGGGGTTTCTTAGTGTTATAAGTAAAAAAGTAAGTTTCTTCTTTTCAGTATTAAAATTATTTGTAGATTTGGTAAACAAATTTGTTAAATTATATATGAAAAATTCAGTAAATATTTTACTTCTTTCTATTAACATATTTGATTCAAATCTAAAAAATTTTCAATAAAGATTTTTGCTGATTCTAGCAAAAAATTTGTTTGAAATTGTAGTGAATTTTTAATAAATTTTTTAATTAATAGCCAGCATTGCCATTTTGGGCTTTTCCTACCAAATTTGGTAGGATTTTTTTGGTAGGATGGTAGCTTAAATCGATTTTTGGTAAGTTTGTCAAAACCCATAATGTAAAGAATTTTAACAAATAAGTTATATAATTAGTAGAAATCATAAAATTTAGTACAACGATCAGCGTTGCCACTCACCAAATTTTTAACCTACCAAATTTTTGTCAAAAAACTACCAAAATCGTTTAAAACCTACCAAAATTTTTAAAATCATATAAAATTATTTTCTGAAAAAAATGTGACTTGTCTATTAAGGTATTTCGTCGCCTAAAATGCAAAAGGGTGTTAAACTATGTATAAACGGTTATTAGATCTAACAATATTGGCAGAAAAATGTTCGGAAAATGTCTATCGTTCGTGTCAACTTACCATGTATCACAGCTTTTATGAAACATATATTTCTTGAGATTCTTTTTATACCCACCATCAAAAAAGATGAGAAAATATAACAGCTAGAGTCCTGAAATTTTTTCGGAGCCACTGTAGTATTGACATGAATATTTAGCACGGACTACCAATAGGGGCGTGGCATCTCCCATAGGAATTAAATACCAAAAGTCGTTTATCTGGAAAACTATTGGAGTTATAATCTTAAAATTTCCCGCGGACTTTCATAAGCGGGACACCCAAAAACATATATATGTCGATATAAAATAAAAAATTTTCAAAATATATTGATATACATTTTTTGTTTATAAAAATTTTATTAATATTAGTATTTTATTAATTACTGATATTTACGTACATATTTTATTTCTTAATAATTATTTCTTACAAGGAGGATTCTATTTCATTGATGCGCCAGGAGGAATCGGAAAAACCTTTCTCATCTCATTAATTTTAGCTAAAGTTCGATCACAAAAGAATATTGCCTTAGCCATTGCGTCATCAGCTATTGCA